TGTGGATCACAACAAACTATGGCTGACTCTGAGAAGAATGGGAATCACAGAACATTTGATTGTGCTAATGTGAAACCTATACTTGGACCAAGAAGCAGTCATCAGAACAGAGCAGGGAGACACTGGGTGGTTCAAAATCAAGAAGTGGATCCATCAGGGATATATTGGATATATTCTGTTTCCATACTTTTTCAATCTGTATGCAGAACAGATCATCCGAGACAGTGGGCTGTACAAGGAGGAATGTGGCATGAGGATTGGAGAAAGAATCATCAACAACCTGTGTTGTGTGGATGACACAATCCTGCTTGCTGAAAATGAGGAGGACCTTGCTGCAGAAGGTCAAGTACTGCAGTCTTCAATATGGATTGAAGGGCAACATCAAGAAGACAAAGATTCTCACCACTGGGCCAATTGGCAGCATCAGTATGGATGGTTAAGAGATTGAGATAGTTAAGAGTTTTAGTATACTTGGTTCCACAGTCAACACTCTTGGTAATAGCAGTCAGGAATTCAGGAGATGAATTGTATTGGGAGAGTCAGCAGTGAGGGACCTCTCAAGAGTACTGAAGAGCAATAACATCAGGCTGGAGACTAAGGTGCGCCTAATCCAGGCTATAGTCTTTGCAGTTATGTACTATGCATCAGAGAGTTGGATAATGAATAGGGATGATAGAAAGAGAATTGATGCCTTTGAGCTGTGGTGCTGGAGAAGAGTGTTGAATATACCACTGACTGCTAGGAGAACAAACAGGTTTGTCCTGGGGAGGGTAAAGCCGGAATGCTCCTTAGAGTCAAGAATTCTGAAGCTTCGTCTGACATACTTTGGGCATGTTGCAAGGAGGGACTAATCCTTGAAGAGGGACATCATGTTTGGGAGAGTTGAGGGACGATGCACGAGAGATGGATCAATTGTGTGAGTAGAGTGGTGGGAATGAGTATGTTTGAGATGGCGAGGTTGGCACAGGATAGAAAGATTTTAGGGCTCTTGTACATAGGGTCGCTATGAGTCGCAAGTGACTCGATGGCACATAACAACAACAACATGGCCAAGTGGGATTTTTATCAGGTATGCAAGGATGGTTCAACACAAGAAAAACAATCAATGTAATTCATCACATTAACAAAGCAAAGAACAAGAACCACATGATCTATCAATTCATGCAGAAAAGGCCTTTGACAAAATCCAACACAATTTCCTGATTAAAACACTCAACAAAATGAGATTAGAGAGGAATTTCTTCAACATAGTAAAAAGAATATTTATCAAACGTGAGAGCCAACACTGTTCTCAATATTCAGAGAACAGGAAGTAGGCAAGGATGCTCACTATCACCTCTCCTATTCAATATTGTATTGGAAGTCTTAGCAATTGCATTAATGCAAGATAAGGAAATAAGTGGTATCCAGATTGGCAGAGGAGGAAAAATTATTTCTCTGTGAAGATGATATGATAGTTTACTCAGAAAACCCTAAAGACTCAGCAAGAAAACTATTGGACCTAGTGACTAATTCAGCAAAGTGGCAAGATACAAGATCAACATAGAAAAATTAATTGGATTTCTCTACAGTGACAAAAAGAATATAGAACTGGAGCTGAGAAAAACAATACTCTTCACAATAGCTAATCACAAGATTAAATATTTAGGAGTAAACCTAACCAGAAGCACAAAGAATCTGTTCAAAGAAAATTACAAAACACTATTACAAGAAACAAAAAGAGAACTGGAGACGTGGAAGAATATTGCTTCCTTATGGATAGGAAGACTCAATATTGTGAAAATGACAATACTACTTACACATTCAGTGCAATCCCAATTCCTTCCTTCAATAAGATGGAAAAGGCAATCTCCAGTTTCATTTGGAATGGAAAGAAGCCCAGAATAAGCAAAGCACTCCTTAAAAAGAGAAACAGAAGGGGCTAATGGCCCTAAACCACATTAAAACGTAGCTGATGTTGCTAAAAAAAAAAAGAGAGAGAGAGAGAAACAGGATAGGAGGCATCTCCCTCCCTGAATTCAAATCCTACTACATTGCCGTGGTGGTCAATAAAGCATGGTACTGGTACAATGGTAGACACATGGTAGACAGCGGAATAGAATTGAGAACCTGGAAATTAGCCCATCTACCTATGGTCAACTGATTTTTGACAAGGAGATGAAATTAGTTAATTGGGGAAATGATAGACTTTTTAACAAATGGTGCTGGCAAAATTGGAAACTATCTGCAGAAAACTCAAGCAAGATACACACCTCACCCCATACACAAAAAACAATTCAAAGCGGATTATGGGCCTAGGGCTAAGACCAAGGACTATAAACTTCATTAAAGAAAAGCTTGGAAGAACTCTAGATGTCCTAATCCACGACGTAAACACTCTTCTAAGCATCCTAGAAAATCTACAACCCGGAGAAGATAAAATAGATAAATGGGACCTTCTAAGAATCAAATCCCTATGCACATCCAAAAACTTCAACAGGGTTAAAAGAGAAGCCAAAGATTGGAGGGAAATATTTGGTAATGACATGTCAGATAAGGGACTTACATATAGAATTTATAAAGTGCTCAAGCACCACAAGAAGATAAAGGTAAATAATCCAATTAAAACATGGGCACAGGATATGAACAGACAGTTCACCAAAGACATTCAGATGGCCAACAAGTACATGAAGAAATGTTCAAAATCTCTAGTTTTAAGAGAGATGCAAATCAAAACTACTATGAGATATCATCTCACCCCAGTCATAATAGCAAAATTTAACAGAACAGCAAACATAAAATGCTAGCGAGTTTGTGGAGAAACTGAGACCCCTATTCACTGTTGGTGGGAATGTAAATTGGTGCAAACAGTATGGAAGGCAGTATGGCGCTATCTCAAAAAGTTGTAAATAGAAATACCATTTGTCCCAGCAATTCCACTACTGGGAATATACCCCAAAGAGACCATAACTGTCATCCAAGCAGATATATGTACACCCATGTTTATGGTGGCTTTGTTCACAATAGCAAAGAGCTGGAAACAACCCAAGTGCCCATCAACAAACCAATGGATAGAGAAGTTCTGGTATGTGCACACAATGGAATACTATACAGCATTGAAAAACAAGGAACTCATGAAATATTAGCAAAATGGGTGACCCTGGAGGACATTATTCTGAGTGAAATATCTCAGTCCCAAAAGGACAATTACTGCATAGGGCCACTGTTGTAAAATGGGACTGACGTCAGGGTTGAATGAAGACAGAAAAGGAGGGGATGAATGATGTATATTGCATTGAACAGATGAGGGAGAGAACTCATGTTGTTTAAAAGGGATGTAAAAATGTGTATTCTTGTCACTACAGCAGTCCAGATTGAAGGCTGCATAGTGGAGTGGACTTAATAACTGCATAACAATGAATGATATTTTTTTTTTCTTTTCAGGTAGAAGAGTGAATTTGGGAGGTGGGTGTGGGTGGGGAGAAAGGTGCAACAATGAATGACTGGAAACCCTAAGTCTCCGTAAACATTCATTGAAATTAATAAAAATTTAAAAAGA